AGGACTGTCAATTAGAAAAAATATTAACTTTATTCTATTTTCAGAGTACAAGACAAGGGACCTCACATCTGTCAGACATTAATGTGGGTTAGAACTGTAGCCAGGCATCCCGCGCTGTTGGAAAGGGTTATGGAGGAGCTCAGGGAAATAATGGTCAAGGCTTTTGAATCGAATTGTCCCATTGGTGTGCCAAGGGATTGCACAAATGCACCTTGGTGGATCCCACGATTGGAAAACCTTAGGATCGGGGTTCGCAGGCTTTTCAATAGGGCTAAGCAAGAAGGTACTTGCGAAGACTACAAGATGAACTTAACAGTCTGCAGCAAGGAGATCCGCAGGGCTGAGCGCAGAAGCTTTAGATCATTTTGTTGGAGCATAGCGGAGACGGCAGCGGCAGCGAGGCTGCATAGGGCACTGACTAGAGACCGGGTGCCAGTAACTGCTTCTTTAAGTGCTCTTCTCCTCCTGGATCCGTGTCGGATCCGTGGTGTGGGAATGCAGGACACCACGTCCTGAGGATTGGCAGAGGGCTGCACGCATAACTCCGGAGGAAAGGATAAGGTGGGTTGGTGACACTTTCCAGCCCTTCAAAGTGTCGGGAGTGAATGAGATTTCACCAGCACTTTTGCAACGGGGGCGGGAGCCAATTATGCCTTCCTTAATAAGAGTATTTAAGAGTTGCTTGGCTTTCGAATACTTTCCCGAGTCCTGGTGGGTGTCTAGGGTTGCCCTTATTCCCAAAATGGGAAGGAGGAACATGGCACCCAAGTCATTTAGACCGATCAGCCTCGCATCGTTTTTATTCAAGACGATGGAGATAATAGTTGATAATTATGTCCTAGCGCGGGTGCTGGTGAAGAGGCCGCCTGAGGAGTAGGGACGTGGATGATACCACCTCTCTATGGATGTCCAATATGTTGGCCACAAGAGTTGCAGAGAGTGCTGTGGGGCAGAGCACCCTAAGGATGTGCGTAACCAGGAAATGCCCACAGGGAGGGGTTTTGTTTCCACTGATGTGGAGTTTGGTGGTGGATGGAATCCTTGATGAGCTGCTTCGTCAAAGAATTGGTGTCCAGACTTATAACGATGATATTGGCGTCATCGCTAAGGGTAAGTTTGAGGCGACTCTTTGTGATATAGTCTAAAGGGGATTACGGGCGGCCCGGACCTGGTGCGATGCTATGGGTCTCAGGCTTAACCCTAACAAGACGACACTCTGCCTTTCACTAGGAAAAGAAAGCTGGAGTATCTGTGCACAAATCAATTGTACGGAGCAGCTATAGAGAGAAAATTGGAGGACAAATACCTAGGAGTGGTATTTCATTCCAAGCTTCTTTAGCAAAGTCACGAGGAAGCTGTATGTATTTTCCATTATGGTTTGCAGGACCACCCCGTCTATCATGTTATGGATGTATACCATGATGGTCGTGCCGCTCCTGACTTATGGAGCATTGGCATTGGCAAGAAGGGTGGTTCTTAGTACGGCTAGAAAGAACCTGGAACAATTGCAGAGACTCGCACGCATCTCAGGGGCTGTGAGAACTCGCACAACGGCGGCAATGGTGGTGATTTTGGGACTAACCCCTTTGCACCTCGTTGTAAAAATGGCAGCGAAGGCTGCCATTTTCAGGTTGGGGAAGAATGGAATTAAAATGTCTTGTCGGGGAGATTGCGCTCCTAGCGATGCCTAGGGACGACATGGTCCTAGGCATCGCTAGGAACGATGCCTAGGGACAGCTTCGAGAAAAATTTTGCCTTGTTGATGAGTAGCAGGAGGAACTGGGAGCGTGACTTTTCAAGTCGCCCAGTGAGAACACACGTTATCAGATGGTACGCACATGGGTCAAAAACCAGTATGTTGACGAGGGGGGGGGGGGTGTTTGGGCCAAGAACCGAATTCTCGTAACTTATGGGAACTTTTACGTGTTTCGGGCCGAGTTGCACGCCATTGAAATGTGCGTGTGGTTCAGCCTGGAAAGGGGGTATCGGGGACAGGGGATAATGATTATGTCAGATAGCCGGTCTGCGATGCGAGCGCTGAACTCGTTATCCTCCGCGGCAGTATCGGGCTGTCTTGAGAACCTCAATGAGATTGGCAGACGCAGCCGAGTCACACTGTGTTGGAGACCGGGGCATGTGGGCCTGGAGGGAAAGAGGCCGCTGATGCATTTGCAAGGAAGGGGAACAAACACACCTCTTCTTGGGCCGGAGCCCTTCTGGGGAATTGGACCACATACTATTCGTGGGAAACTAAGAAGGAATCAGTAAGAAGGCGGTCGGAGCGCTGGAGACGTCCTCCGGTGTTTCGGCAAGCCAAGGAGCTCCTGGGAGATTATGACCAAAAGCGATTTAACAAAATTATAGGGATGGGCAAGAATCAGGTGAGAATCCTCGCCGCTATTTTTAAGGATCAGTGCAGGCTTAGGGGACACATCAGTTGGCTGAGCCTGGAAGATGCGTATACTTAGAGATTCTGTGGGGAATATGGGCGGACCTCGGTGCACCTCCTGGGGAACTGTGATGCTCTTGCTTATAAGAAGGGGGAGATGCTGGTGGGCTATGCTCTAACGGCGGCAGAGTTGCAGTCTTCCGGCCCTCACAAGTTGCTTGAGTTCATCGGGAGGGTGGGTCTCGAGCGTGTGTTGTAGGCCATGCCCCGCACTCGGAGGAGGAATTTGTAGATTCTTGTAAATCTCCTTTTATTATACTAAAACTCTTTTATTATTAAGTCGTTGATGTTAAACTGTTTCCATAGTTTATTGAGTTTATCTAGCCTAATGGCTAGATATTCTGCAGTCTTTCTTGAAGCTGAATCTTTCTTAAGATTAATCAGTAACTTCTCCATGCCATTTCCAAACTCCTTCTGTTTGACAGCAGTTTCATCCAGATTCAAATTTTGTGACATTTTTTTTATTTTTTGGTTGAGCTCCCAAAATGTTTAGTTTAATTAAAAGAATGAATTCTTATTGTTTGGTTTGAGATTAATTAATTTATTTATTAAAAATCTGACCTATTTATACAAAAATTATGCTACTTAAAATTAATTATTTACCACAGAAATAGACTAGTAAGCAATTTTATGTATTTACAAAACTCATAATTTTCCCTTGTTAATCTACGTATCATATACGAGTAGGTTTCAAATTTACTTAAAGTAAAATTAACAAACAAAATATATGTGATTTTACTCCTACTAGAATATTGTGAGAAAGTTATGTACGAAAAAAAATATTAACATTAACTAACTATAATGCTTGCAAATATATGTACGTTAATATTAAATTTTGACAAATTAGAATTTTAGCAATTCTGGTATTTACTTAATTTCCCATTTACTTAATGGGAAAATAAAAGATAAAGAATTCAGAATTATTGTTGTTACACAACACATGTAGATAGCCTATGTACGCATACTAAACATTTGGCATTTGTAAGCATAAATTTTAATGTTATAATAAATTTTGTCGTTATATAATGTCATAATAAAGATAGCATTGTTAAGGTTGCTTAAGTTTTAGAAAAAACTATTTCTTAAAATGAATTAAATATAATAATATATATAAAAACATAATGCTATATAACGTATGCTTCGTATATTCAATGCACTTATAATAAACTAGTCGTGTATGCTTGCATTGCATGAATTGTACTTGGGTTGACGGCCCTAATTTTGAATGCTTTTTGTTTCAAGTAACGTATTTGGTCCTTTGCAGTTTGATTAAAACAAACTCTCAGAAATTAAATTCAAGCAAACAAATGACAGACGTATGCTTGGAAAATTAAAAACATGTTCTTTATCTAGAGGGTGGTTCGGATCAAATATTAAAGCTCTATGAAAATGATTCGTTGACGTTTTTTAAAAAAAAAGCTCAACAAATTCAGTTTTTTCGATACATACAAAAAATACGTTTACACTAAATAAAAATAGGAATTTTTTGAAAAAATATATCAGAATTAAGTTTTGACATGCTTAATGACTTTAAAATTTTTAAAACACTACATCTTAATAAAGATTAAATTTAGACAATGAGACAATGCTCGCCCTCATCATTTTCTCACTTTTTTTCTTATTCTGAAGTTCTTTCAAGTGTTATAAAGTTTTATATAGTGTTTCAAGTAATCGTTGCCAAAACACAAAATTTTGAATTAAAAAACTGAAAACTTTTCGAGAACACTATTATCAACGCTATTGGAATTCAAAAAAGATCGTTAATTTTTCAAAAAAACTCTGCATACTTTACAGAAATATGGCACATTCAAAATTTTATTGATATATTTTATTTCATTCTTTTCCTATGCACCTAATAGAAGTACGTTATAAGATATTAATAGTTATTTGTTAAAAGAATTTCAAGAAACTCCTGGACTAACTTTAAATTAATTGCCTTTGCTAAATTTGCTATAAATTGGCTTGAACCATGTTATGTTAAATGAAATAAAAGAAATATTACAAATTACCAATGCAACGTCTACTTTTTCATCTTTCTTTTTAATTCTGAAAGGAGTAACTAATGGAGATTCCTTCATAAAACTGCAGAACAGATGGATGACGTAATCAAAGGCACAAGCCAACGCAGAAAAATAAAACAATTTTTCTCTTCGAAATGGACCCGAACCTACCGCTTTCTAGGCGGTAGTTCACTCTACCAACAGAATTACAAAGGTATGAAGAAATTACCGGCAAATTGTTCTTCACATAGGTTCAGTAATATCATAAGTGAGTGTAAAAGGCACAATACCTATTTATATGCTCTTATGATTGTGTGTTTCGCGTTGACGATTGTATGTAGCAATATCATGTAAGCAACCAGATTATATAAGAAATAAAAGAACTTTTTTTAAATAACTTCTAGCGGATCAGTTGCCAAATTAGTGTTTTTTAGGGGCTATGAAGGTTTAATTAACGTATAATTTCAGATAACGAAATAAAGCTCATCATCATCACGCTACAATCACAAATTACCTTTGTTATAATTTTAATAAGTTAAAAATAAACTTACCTGAGCATCTGAATAATTGTGCGCTAAATTTTTGATATTCCTTCGAATACCAGCAACATTGACTTGCATGTCGTCTTTTTGTTTCCTCACTATTCAAATAAAATAAAAAAATATTAGTATTAGAGATCATGTTCAAAAGAAATAAAAAGAAATTGACAAAACCAAATATTAAAAAAAATTTAAAATGATAAAATTTGAAGGATATTTAAAAATTTAGTGAAGTGAAAACAAGTGGGCAAAACCTTTAAGGACTTTTTTTAAAATTATTTTATTTTTTTCATTATTCGCAGAATCTTAACAGTCTTAGTCTACGGTAGAAAATTTAAATGAAAATACTGGCAAATATCGAATTTTTGCGTTTGTGTATTGCGTTCGAAACAGTTATGTATGATAATTATTTCTCTTATGAATTTTAGTAAGCACTCAAAATTCTAAGCAAACAAAAGTACAATACTTTTTTGAAAGGATAAAAAAAATTGTTTTTTTGTGGAATTTTCGTATTGGAAGTTTTAATTTTAAAGCAAAACTTGTATTTTGATACTTACATTGATGATAAATACATTTGCAATATGAAAAATTTGAAAACGAGAAATGTTAGAAAAACGCAAATAAACAGCACATATAGGGCAGCGATATTTCTAAACGAAAACACCCTTATGAAAAGAAAAAAATTTTATGAACATACATACATATTTTAACACAAAACATTTACTAATTTTTCCAAAAAATTGTAAGTTTAATGTATGTAACTAAAATTTATATTGACTTTTTTACTTTTTAAGAAATTGTAAAGTTCTTTAATTATTAAACTTTTTATGTAAACAAACATACATGTTTAATATATAAACATATTCAAAATGATGATTTAAAACAAAAGGAACAATGGGAAAGATAAACATAAATAAAAATTTGCATATATACTTAAATGTTATGAATATAATATTACATAATGAAAAATTTTGTATAAATTAAACTTACTTTTTCCAAAAAATGTTCAGTTTGCTTTTGTTTTTTATTTTCGAAAAAAATTGGATTTATAAAAAATATTCTTGCTGATTTTTAATCAAATTTAATTCTGTTAAATTTTTGGCTATTTGTTTTGTAGTCGAAATGTGTTCCAAAAGCAAGCTATATAAAGGTAAGCAGAAAAAAATTGTAAAATTTAGTTTTTGTTAAAATTTAAAGAAAAATAAAAATTTCTACATATTATTTTTCATTCTTTTTTTTATCTTAAAGTAATAAATAACATATGAGTGTTATTTACTTTGTTAGAATTACTTTAAACATAGGTGAAAAATCACTTTAATTTATGTATAATATTAAGGACCAAATTAATTTACGGAAATTAATTACGGATTGTCTATATTACAGATGTTATAATACTGTAGCATTAAAAAGGAAGTGGCAATTTCGTAATACCCTTCCAACATACGTGCGCACGGAAATAATAGTTCCCGTACTATCATATCAATTTATGCAAAATTTGAGTGTTATTTCAATAGTTTCCAAGATATAACCATAAACACCTATTGTAACAGCATGGTTACCACTGAAACACAAAATTTTGAATTGAAAAACTGAAAATTTTTCAAAAAACGTTAATTATCTGGAAAGTCCGCTATTTTGTTGTTTTTCAAAGCCCATCATCCTCTACAACCTTGCTATACATGACTTTTATAGCAAGTAAAGCGATAAATGACGTAAGTAATTATCAAAATTGCAACTATTATTTAGAATGAATATTTTGATTAACAAATATTAGTAATTGACAATTGGAAATTTAACTAAAATTAATAAAAATCAAAAAAAGCGACAATTTTTTAAGCTTACGCATTTTTTTAAGGCTTTCAAAATAACTCCAAATGGATTTTTCCCTAGGTCTTATGTAGCATAAAAAATATTATGACGTTCAATATTTTAAATTAAAGTTTAAGAAACCGGGCAAAATTCAGAAAAAAAATTTTACATGTCTACAAATTTCAAATGGGATAGACAAAAAATATGTTGATTTTAAGTTCTTTATTGACCCTTTCAAAAACTGTTTGGTTGAAGTTTCTATCTTTTTCCGAATAGAAGTTATGAGGAAATAAAGTAAAGTTTTGCACAAACCAATGGTTTGTATTGTAGAACTTTTCCCTTCAACAATTCGTGAAAATACTGCTTTTAAACACAGTGTAGTATATCTACCACACTATTAAAAACTAGTCGTGTGTGCTTGCATTGCAAGCCTTGCAGGTATTGTGCCTGTAGGTATTGTGCCTTGCAGGTATTGTGTTCCATTCTGTGTGTTACATATTTTAAGTTTACTTTTTTTCTTCAAAAACACACCCATAATATACTTATAGATATGTCTTTTTCCTAATATTTCATAAGATAAAACTTAAAATAAGAAAAGCTCTTAAAACTAATTACAAAAAAGTACATAATTAAGCAAATAATTAGCTCCTTTGAGATATATTGTCAAGAAATTTAACGTATACTTATGTTTTGCTTATTACTACAGATCACGGAAAGAATACATAACTAAATGCGTATGTACATACTTATTATAAAACAATGTAGATTTTATAAAATCTTTACAATTTTCTTAAGAAAGTGTTCACTTTTTGTTATAATTCCCACTTCCAAATATAAATTTACATACAATATTTATTCCACCAAAATTAATAAAAAATTTACCCCTACAGGATGTAGTACCAATTTGTAAAAAGCGGTCACACAGTATCTTGGAAGGTGGGGAAGGGGGGGGGGGGGGGTAAGTACTACGTAGCCTGGTGGATAGCGTGGTAGTCTCATAACCAGAAGTTATTGGATCGATGCTTTCCTGGATATTATCGTATTTTTCTTTTTTTGAATTAATTTAAAAATTTAATTTTTTTTATTTTGTTTAAATTTTTTGTTTTATTTTTTTTTAAATATATAACAGATAAATGTTATTATAAAAGTTTAAAGAAAATTTCCAAAAAAAATATTGTTATAATAGTTTGGAAAAATTCGCAAAAATTTTAAGTACATAAATATGTATGTATACTTTTTTAAAGCTTCCTAACTAATTGCTTTTAAGCATTCTATATGAATTGAATAATATTCAAAACTGTGTGATTTATTTCTTGGTTTGTGTTTCTAATTATAAAAAGTATAAAAGAAAAACGTGCTTTTGTTATACAAAATTTTTTTCAGAAAATCTTAAGCTAAAAAGTTCCAATGTCAGATTTTTCTGGGACCCTAGAGGCAAAACCCTATCTAATGCCTTTTGTCCCATGTCTCTAGCCCTTCTAGAAGTACTCTTACTTTTTGACACCTGAAAAGTAGGTACATAATATTATATAATATTTTCATTCATATACGAAAATATTTCTAGGATTGCATATATTTAATATGAATGATTTATGTAGTCTTTGAAATAAATCAAAAATTAATTTAAAGAGGCCTTAACATAATGCTCGATTTGAAGGGTTAATTGCGTGAGTTAAGAAAAATAATTATATTTTTTAATGTCACGGAATTTACCGTTAGACATTTGCGTTTATATAAATTTCAAAAAGCTTGCGATTTCGGAAATATAAAGCGTCAAAAATTCAAATTACAAATTTCAAGAGGCGATAAGTTGAGGGGGTGGAAGTGGAAAAAAATTTTCTTCTAACGAAATAAACTATTTATTAGTATCTAAAAGCTGCTACAATTTCAGGCTTCTACAACCTAGAAAAACAGGCTTCTAGAAGAAAAACAAATATTGCGGTGGGCTTCTCCAATCTCGGCATACCATATTTGAAACATAAGAAAATAAAATGGTTGTCAAAATTTACCGTTATCTAAAGTCTGTTTTTTCCAGATTTTTCATACCGTTTTTCTTTCAGGCTTTCGCGAATTTAAATAATTATATAAATTTACGTTATATATTTGAAGGAAATAAGATGCAAAGATGCAAAATTGGACAGCAAGAAATTCCAATTACCGAGTTCTGATGTATCCCAAAAGTTGATCAATCCGTGTCATAGCCAAAATCAACTTGTATTTCATAAAAATAGGGTCAGTGGATTTGAGATACATTGCACACACAGAGCGACAGACCGACATCTCCCTAAAAATGAAAAATTTCAATTTGAAATTATGGTTAATATACACGCTATCGAATTTTATAAAAAAATCTCATGTTCAACCCAAGTAACAATTTTCAAGAGTAATACCCTAAAAAATTGACCAAAACTCTCATAAAACTCTCATACCACACTCCAATACTCTCATAATTTTTTTTTCTTTTTTTGTTTTTATGCAACTCTCATAAGGTTCTTATAATAGAATAATACTTAGCACTTATAGTGTTAAAAATTCTGCTACTCCCATAGCAAAACTACGGCCATTTTAGTATTGTCATTTTTCCTTATCTAAATTTTAACCCTAATGAGACTGAGAATTCTTTTTTTTAGAAAGAAGTCTGAAAAATATTTATTGTACAGAAATGATTAAATTAAAGTTAATGAAATATAAAATTATAGTTTTTACTGAATATAATAAAGCTTTAGTTGGAATTTATGCACATTAGTATATTTAATTTTTTTATTTAACAATTCTTAAGTTTTAAAATTTATGTAAAAAAAAATAAATAAGATATCATTGGGTTAAAAAATATGCATAAAAATTTTTTAAATTTTAATTATTTTTAGTTGGCGTTGCTTTTTTTCGAAGTACAATATCAACTTTTATCAATAAAATTCTATTGCCAGCAACTTTTTATTTATCATCATGGCAAAAAAATTATTTTAATTTTCCATATTTATAATTTTATGACATTAAGTTTTGAATACAAATATTTATTGATTACATATCATATACGTAAACATATGTACATTTTGTTTCGTTTTTGTTAAAAAAATAATTATTAAGAACGGAATAGATATATATTTTACAAAGTTTGAAGTAAGACCCATATATTTGTTCTACAATGTATTGCTTTCTATTTCTAGTAACACTATTATAAATGGCTTGTGAGAGTTTTCGTATACCAAAATTCGTACGAGAGTTACATGCTTTAAAAATTCTTTTAATGAGAGCTTAACTCTCATTACGAGAATTAATTAACTCTAGTAACTGCGCTCTTTTGCTCTTATAAAGATCTCATTAGGGTTTTTAGTGTTCTACAAGACTGAAATTATAAGTAATATTCTTAAAGAATTCTTAATATAGCTCTACAAGAGTCTCATGAGATAAAAATTGTTACTTGGGAAGTTATGCTTTTATCACACGCGGTTGACGTTATCATTACAATTATACTCATAAATTTAGCAAATTTTAGCTGATTTGGCTTTTGATAGCTTTTAGTCGAACACTAGTCTTTATTATGATTTTGATCATTTTCTTTTAGATTTACATTTATACGTTTAAAATACAAAATGTATTTCTGTAGCAAAAAAAAAATGGCAATTTTGATAACTAACAAGTAAAAACGTTTCAGTCGTTATAAACCGATTAATTTATACCCTGCACATTTCATTGTTGTAGAGCAATTACTCGAACCTGTGAAACCATTCTATAGAAACTTCACAGATATGTCTGACCTATAATTGAACGCAAGATTGCCAAGTTTCATGAATCTGACTTTATTATTTATCATCCATTGGGAGCAGCCATCCCATTAAAATTTTTAGAGTGTGTGTAGACTGTAATTTGACACACGTATACAAATTTTTTTATTTATACCTTTATTAGTTTTTGAAATATTTAAAATAAACTCTTTCAGTTGAGTGGCAGCTACTCGAACCCGTTGTCCGATTAGGTCCAATTACAATATGGTTCGTCCTTGGCACTAGAGAAACAACTTGTGGTTTGGTGTCGATTTCATTATTCGTTTTTGAATTATCGTGCAATCGGGCAGACGGACAGACGGACAGACTAACACGTCTAAATCAACGCAGAATTTTACGCTGAGCAAGAATATATATAAGTCTATACCGCATATGACTCCTTCAAGTGGTTACAAACTCCATACCAATGTTAATATAACCCTCACGAAGGTGCAGAGTATAAAAAATAAGTGACAGGATTTAGCTTTATGATAGCCCAATTGACCATACATATGTTAAGAGAATCACCTTCTCAAAAATATTTATTAATATAAATTGTTATTAAAA